GCAATATTTAATTTATTGCTTGTTAAAAGTGATGCGATCATAATAGGCTTACTAATGTTGTCGAATAGTAATAAAAGAGTTAGAAATTAAGTTATAACATATGAATTCATAAAATTTTCTTCTATATATGATTGGAACCTTAATTGTTATTATATGTGAACTATTCATCTTGTAAACTCTCATTGATATTTTGAAATATATTTTTTTTTCCTTATAAGATTGATTAGAAAATAATTTTTTTGCATTTAAATTCTTAAAATTGTGAGAAATTTTGTCTCATTTTAATTAAAGCAATATATATTTTTTCAATAATAGATCAGTTTTTAATAAAATATACATATACATTTTAATTAAAGCAATTTAAATTTGAAATGTAAAATTAAAATTTGTGCTAATAAGGTTTGATTTAAGTAAAGATAAGGCAATGTATTTTTAAAATAATTATAATATAACATTCATAGTCTTTTTGGATGAATATTCAAAAAATAATAGCTTTCACTTTTTATTATATATATATATATATATATATATATATATATATATATATATCACTTATTGTTGTTGTTGCTATTGTTGTTGTTATTATTATTATTTAAAAAGTTAGAAAATATTTTGCAATGTGTAAGTTAATTAAGAATAATAAATAGTTTACGGAATATTTTATTTTTTGAATGTTGCTGGTTCTATTATAATGTAATATATGGTTATATATACATACTGAACAAGAATAATAAATAGTTTACGGAATATTTTGTTTTTTGAATGTTGCTGGTTCTATTATAATGTAATATATGGTTATATATACATACTGAACAAACACAAAGAACCAATAACGCCTCCACCAAGGCTCAAACTCACAACCTTCCAAATAGAAGTCCAACCAGGATACCATTAGACCACATAGTCTGGGTGAATATTTTGTTTAATATAATTTGTAAACAAATGAAAAAGTAAAAAGTGAAAAATGGTAAATTTAAAAATGTCTTATCATTATACAAGAAATAAATCAAAATGTACATGTTATCAATTCAGAGTTTGCAATTGAATACTAAGTTTAATGATTACAAGAGTAGTTGAGTTAGTGCATGGTATGGCTAAGGGAACCATATATCAATCGGTCCGCACATGCTTAGCTCAATGGTTGAATAGATAATATTTAAGTGATTATTCTCTAAGTGGGCAGATCCCGGCCTTGTGTGCACCGGCATTTGGCCATGTCTGCTGAGCCATTGAGTCACCGTCATTTTCATCCTCCCAAATGCACCGTCGGACCGGGATGTGGGGACCCTTAAGGTTGGGGATTCAACCTTTTGGAAGAATAAGGAAACCATCAATCGTTATATTATTGAAGATTATAGTCCACACAAATAATATGACACTGTTTCTTTTAATTAAGAAACAATTGCATGTCCTTGTCGCATATCATGTTATAGATATGTATATTACCAAATGAACATGTAGTAAACTTAAAATGATATTTTAATATTGTTATAATAAACTTATTTTTGGAAATCTCGTTGGTGAAACCCAATAATAATCTTAAAATATAAAGATATTATTATTTTTCTGTAGGAAAGAGGAATGAAAGATGAAGAGATTGGCTTCGTGTTTGGTATAGGGTTTTTAGCAAGAGTCAAGCGATCATTATTTCCTTAAAACCTTATTTGCTACCTCTCACAAGTGCTAGGAGCGTTGTAGCCTAGGCTTCCCAGGATAAAACTTGCTACGATTCAGTGTTTGAGCACCCAAACAAAGAATCCGGCGAACTAGAGCAAGATTATGAACATAGTATGACTAAGAAAGAGTAGAAGCAGAGGGTTTTGAGGCTGAAAATTATTATACTTTCTTGTTGTGTGTAAATCTGCTACTGCCCAACTCCTTATATAGGGGTGAGAGATTAAATAGCTTTTAATAGGCACTTAAGGGCACCTCTCCACCTTCCTGTAACAGCAACCATTAACATGGGTTTCAATTCAAAAATTAAAATTGAAATTAATTCAAAAAATTAAAATTGACCACCCATCGGTCACAACAGGATAGGTTCTGTGTGTAAATCTGCTACTGCCCAACTCCTTCTTATATAGGGGTGAGAGATTAAATAGCTTTTAATATGCACTTAAGGGAACTTCTCCACTGTAACAGCAACCATTAACATGAGTTTCAATTCAAAAATTAAAATTGAAATTAATTCAAAAAATTAACTCCGTAACAGCTGAATTGACCACCCATCGGTCACAACAGGACAAGTTCGTGCAGGCGACCATCAGGGGTTTTGAAAAATGATGCCGACACACACAAGATTAAACTTATATATATATATATATATATATATATATATATATATATATATATATATATATATATATATATATATAAGCCAAGCCGCGCGAGAGAGAACCTCTATGCTAAACATTCAATAAGCCTTTAAAAGACTCTTGTATAAATAGTGGGGCAAATCCTCTTCCCAAACCAATGTGGGACAAAAGCTCACTTTTTCCTTTCATTTTTCCAACTCAATGGGTCTACTTTGACAATCAATATCTCATTCACCCATTATCCGTTTTGAGCGTAAAATATATCAATCTCTTCGGCTCACTACGAAGAACCTGAATCCACTTTGACCCGACCCAAATCGGAAGTGGATCCCATTGATAATTGTACCACAAAATAGCCACTAACATGTCATTTTATGCCATTTTAAGCTATTCTTTCCAACACTTATAAACCTATAATATGTATAAAATCAAATTGGATAATAGAGACATGAAGTGTAATTAAAATGAACCAACTCCAAGTTTGTCGCTTAGAGTCTTTCTAGTACAATTTATCTCTTTTGTGGTTTCCAGATTATTAAACAAAAGTGGAGTTTACCTAGTGCATATCCTCTGATAGCAGCCCCGTCATCGGAAAAAAAAACTAAATTCCTAATAGTAAAATACTTTATAATTTTAAGCAAATAATTAAATAAGATTTAATAATGTTTTAATGTGGTCAGATCATTTTAATTTGCTTAAGGGCTAAGGCACTTTTAATCGCCTTCCCTCTCATTCAAGCTAAGACTAGTTTTGTAGTGTTCAATTAAGCTTTTTGGGAAAATGACTGCATTAATTCTGTTAGGATCTATACGGTTTATAACACCTAATTACAATAGTAATTTGGGCTGGAAATATTGAGAATATTTTTAGCCTAAAATTTATAATAAAAATACACATAATAACGTAATTTTGAAAAAGAATTTTTGTATTGACAAAATGATATTACAATAAAAATTACAAATATAACTCCATATCTCTCTAGCTCTAAAGATACATTGTTCTGCTAATGGGATGTGATAATTTATTACAATGAAGAGAGGTTGCCTATTTATAGCAAACCCAAGTGCGATTTGCAAACATTTAATGCAACCATTAATGCAAATCTACTCTTTACTCAAACCTTAACCCAAACTTTTGCTCCAAACCTTTTAGCTCAAATCTTAGCCCAAACTTTTGCTCCAAACCTTGGCTAAAACCTTAGCTCCAAAACCTTAGCTCAAACCTTGATTCAAAAACTTTAGTTCAAAATCTTAGTTCCTTTCCACTACATTTAACTTTATTTTTCACAAATTTTAAGTGTCAAACACGAAGTGCAATGATCATTACACTTCAACCAATGTTTTGTACGTACTACGTAGTATGCTTAGGTAAGGGAAGGGAAAATACTATACTCTTACTGCCGTATACTAAACGTTTTATAGACTTTGAACAAATGACTTTAATTAATTTGGAGGTTTTGTTCGCATTCGAAGACTACACAAATTCCACTGAGATTAGGGTTTTGTTTCTCTCTCGCTATTTTCCGCGAGTCTTCTAGGGTTTTGTTTTTCCTTGACGGAACCACCGCGTCTACGGTGAACGACTCGGACGTAGCTTTACGACATGGAGACAGACGACATAGCCCAGCAGTGCGCCAACCTGACGCTAGCCGACGTGGATAACGACGATTTTGCTGTGTGTGTTCCGGCAGTTAATGTTGATCAGGCAGAGGTTGACGACTCATTCTATGCGGTTGGGAGACTTCTCACGAGCCGCACCATCCGGTTTGCGTTTTTCCAAGACACCATGGCGGGTGTTTGGCAGGCAGTTATGGGAGTTAACATGCGAGAGCTACAACCACGTAAGTACCTTTTCCGCTTTTATCATGAGGGGGATTTGGAACGTATTTTGTGTGAAGGGCCTTGGGCTTATGAGTAGAGTCTGCTCATTATGAAGAGGGTGCCACCGGGAGTAGACCCGGAGACTGTGCCGCTAACCCACGCAGACTTTTAGGTGCAAGTCAATTCTTTACCGGCGGGTTTCCGATCGGAATCTGTGTTGGTGGCGATTGGCTCGTTCCTAGGGGAGGTTGCGTAAACGGACAACCGCAATTTTGATGGCTCTATGAGGGCGTTCTTTCGGGTTAGGGTTTCTTTGGATGTGTAGAAGCCATTGAAGAAGCAGATGAAGCTTAAACGGGATGCGGGCAATTGGGCTGTGATAGATTTTCGGTATGAACGACTTCCGACCTTTTGCTTTTTGTGTGGTGTGATTGGCCACGGGGATAGACATTGCAGGTTGGCATTGCAGCGGGGTGATAAGCAATCAGAAAAGCCGTATGGGGTTTGGTTGAGAGCAGGGTCGCGACGTGGAACACCAACACAAAATCAGTGTTGGATTCCACCCGAGGCAACAGCTGAGCGCAGGTTGTGGAAGTCGCCGGCCATGCAGATTGATCCGGCTGGGGATGTGGGAGGCCGGACTGGGCAGATGGGAACAGCACCGGTTAATCGGGGTGTGTCCAGTGGGGTTGTTGGGGGAGCCACGGTGGAAATTCCCAGTGTTGTGGTGGGGGAGCCGAAGAAAAGGAGATTGGAAGAAGGGGAGGATAGTGTGGCAGTAGGGGGGTGAACGTATGGAGTATGAAACTAGTCTGTCTAAAAACGGGTTGGAGGCGGGTCTTGCGGCGCAGGCCCGCCGAGAGTCATGGGTATCATATCGTGGAATTACCGGGGGCTTGGCAACCAGAGGGAAATTCGGGTGTTGGCGGACTTGGTTCGCACTAAGAGGCCGAGTGTGATTTTTCTTATTAAGACTTTTGTAGATAAGCATCGAATTGAGGATATCCGGGTGCAGTTTGGTTATGATTGTGCTTTCACGGTTGATGCAGTGGGACATAGTGGTGGCTTGGCTTTGTTATGGAATAATACTGTGGAGTTGAATGTGGTAAGTTACTCCTTAAACTATGTGGATACGGAAGTGAGATTGGATGTGGGCAGTCCATGTTGGCGGTTCACGGGCTATTACGGGTACTCGGAGAGGCATCGTAGAAGGGAGTCATGGCAGTTATTGCGTACCCTATCAGTGCGGTCTACATTACCATGGCTAGATATGGGGGACTATAACGACTTATTAGACCAGTCTGAGAAGATGGGACGGGCACCTCATCCGGGGTGGCTCATTAATGGGTTTAGGGAGGCGGTCGCGGATTGTGGTTTGCAGGATGTTCCGTTTGGTGGCCACCAATTCACTTGGGTGAAGTCACGTGGGACTAGCCGGATGATAGAGGAAAAGTTGGACCGAATTCTAGCAAGTGAGAGTTGGCTGGACCTGTTTGAGGAGGTACGGGCGCAGTCTCTGCCCACTTTGTACAGTGATCATTTTCCTCTTGTCTTAACGCCCGTAGCTTTACCGCGGGTGCGGAAAAGGGCTAGATTTTGTTTTAACAACATGTGGTTGAGAGAAGAGGCCTGCAGGGAAATAGTCATACACAGTTGGAACCGGACAGTAGGCCTGGATACTTTGGATAGAGTGGAGGTATGTGCACGTGATATATCGCGATGGGGTCGAAGTTATAATAAGGATTTTCAGCGTAAAATTGAGCAGAATAAGCGCTGGTTAGAGGGGCTGTTGTCTCGCCGGGAATGCGGGAGTATGCTTCAGTGGAAAAGGAGTTGTTGTTTTTACTTGAACAACAGCACATATACTGGAGACAGCGGGCCAAAGAACATTGGTACCAAGGTGGTGACACGAATAGTAAGTTCTTTCACAACTCGGTGAAAGCGAGGAGGAGAAGGAATAGTATCAAGAGGCTCCGGGATGAGAATGGAGACTGGGTTCGGGAAGAAACAGGTTTGGATAATGTAATGCTCAATTATTTTAATAACTTGTTTGCGCCTGATTATGGGGATATGGAGGAGGTGGTGGAAGCAATTGATGAAAGGGTTACTGAGCGTGATAACGCATGGCTGTTGTGGCCGTTGAGTATGGAAGAGGTGCGTGTGGCGGTTTTTCAGATGCATCCGGATAAATCCCCAGGACCTGACGATTTCGGACCAGGGTTCTTTCAGTACTTCTGGGACATTGTAGGGGGGAAGTTACAGGTTTTTGCAGGAACTTTTTGGGTACAGCCAGGTTACCGTTTTAGGCAAATGATACCCTGATTGTTTTGATCCCGAAGAAGACTAATCCGGAGACTATGATGAACCTGCGACCGATTGCGTTGTGCAATGTTGTGTACAAGATTGCGGCAAAGGTATGTGCTAATCGTTTGAAGTCTCTCCTGCAGAATTTGATATCACATGCACAAAGTGCTTTTATTCCGGGCCGGTTGATAACAGACAATATCATGTTAGCCTCTGAGGTACATCACCACTTGAAGCGAAAGACCCAGGGTTGTAAGGGGCTAGTGGCTTTGAAGCTTGACATGTCGAAAGCCTATGACCGGGTAGAGTGGAAGTTTTTGGAGGCGGTGATGCTTAAGATGGGGTTCAGTGACCGGTGGGTTGAGATTATGTTGGAAACTGTCACTTCGGTACACTATCATATTCTGCATGATCAGCGACAGGTAGTGTAACACCCCGTGTTATGACCCCTAAAACCAATTAATCATTTAATCAAATATCCGAAGAAAGAACTAAATTACAATAATTAATTTAGAAAAGGCCCACCATAGTCCGTGGGCCCTCACCCCTAAAACCCAAACCCTAGCCCTAAAAGGAATAGAATTAGCAAGCCTATAATATTAGTTCCTAATTAGGACTCCTAGGTATATAAATAGGGGACTTAAGAGGCACCTAGAACCCCCACCACAATAATCCCTCACCACACAAGAAGTTCCAAGAATTCCCCTAGGAGAAATCAAGAAAGAAGAAAGCTTCAAGAAAGACCCTTCATAGCCAAGGAATTAATTAAGGCTAAAAGGTAACCCATGTCTCAACAAAACCTATTTTCATAGCTATGATTCCCCTCTTAGGATTTCCCCCATATTCTTGTATGTTGATGATTCGTTATAATGATCTTGATAATTGGTGTTATGATTCCATGGGTGATCTTGATGATAAGAGGTTCTTGATGATTATATGGTGTTCTTGATGTTCTTGATGATTATATGATGTTCTTGATGTTTATATGATATTCCTACCGAATCTTGATATTAGAAGACGAATTGTGTTCTTGTTGATCTAAAAATAATTAGAACCCTAGGTTATATCGTGGAATTCGTATGGTATTATTCTTGGTATATTGGGTGGGAATTCGCATGTTTGGGTGTTGATTATGTTTAGAAAAGCATGATAGGTTATGTGCCGTATGTTCTTGCTTTTGAATCTGTTAACTGTCTACGTGTTGTTGTCAATTGCGTTTGAAGGTGTCTAAGCATGGTCTCGGGTTCCATAATGGTTCCCGGGGCGTTTTTCTGTGATAAAAGAGTCAGTGGGGGGTAGGTGGGGGTAGGGGACCCGCCACCTACCCGCGGCCTATGATGGTAACGCCGGCAGCGGGCAGCCGGCGGGCGGGCAGCTGCCCGCCGGGCACCCGTGTCCCGAAACGCTGCTGTCGGCGGGCAGCAGGCGGGTGACTCCTCACCCACCGGCTACCCGCTGGATTTTACCCCACCTTGGGATTTTGGCTTCCCCGTTTGATGCTCCCCCGACCCCCGTGGTGTCCCAAAGGACTCCGTCTATCGTGCCTATGTCTAGTTTGATATTTCGGGTACCGTTCGTAGGTGGTATGAGTCTTATATATTGCATGCTAGTTGAATGGGTATCCCGTTGACCTAGGTAAAAGAAGTATGTACCCCTTAGGATTATTCTTAGTATGTGAAGGATCTCGCATAAGTTTTGTTATACGTTTTCTCCCCCTTCCCAGTGTGATTAATGTGGGTTGCATGTGCTTGCTATGTGTTATGTGTGCATGATACCCCAATCCGGTTGCGATCGGATTGGTTATTCCTGAGCTGCGGTTCAGAAGCTGGCTGCGGTCAGATTTTCACTCTTGGGCTGCGGTCCACCGTTTGGTTGCGATCAAACGTTTCTACATGAGCTGCGGTTCATATTTCCTGGCTGTGGTCAGATGACATACTCTTAGGCTGCGGTCCACTGTTTGGTTGCGATCAAACTATGATGAGCAGCGGTTCATCGGTCGGTTGCGATCGACCCCTCCGTGTTGCGATACGGGCAGGGTGCTGCGGGGCCGTGTCAGAGCTATAAGCGCTGACCCTCATGTATGGGCATGCGATTGGTCCTGTGGCGCCAACAAAGTGTGCTATGTGATGAGATATGGATGATTGGATTGTTATGGAAGCGTGACCCTAGGATACATGCTAGTAACTGTATATGCTTGTTTATGACTATTGGCTGTACTTATCTCTATCTGCCTGTGAATTGTGCATGCTTGATTATGTCTGTTGGTTGTGTCTATCCCTATCTGTCGAGTCTATTCCCTGTTTGAAAGCTAGAGTCTCTTAGGATATATCTTCATGCTTGGAAATGGTCTTTCGTATAACTATGTATATATCTATATGTATTGTATTTCAACGCGTTGGAGTGGGTTACCAGCATCTCTCGCTGAACAGATATATTTGGCTTTCAGGCACAGACGAGTAGATCACTGGAGCGCGCTAGAGGTTTGGGGCGTAGATTATATAGTTTTCCCTTTCGGCCTGTGTGCCATGAATTGTATTGATACTGATTGAGATTGTTAGAATCTAGCATGTGCACCTGAGTTCTCTAGCTCAGGTGTGGCATAGCACCCCGTACTCTTATATTATGTTTTGAGAATTAATGAGATTTCACCTTTATTATATAAGCTCCAAATGTTTAAAAATTTCGGGGTGTTACAGTTGGTATCAGAGCCTAAGTTTGACCCTAGGATAATACTATTAAGACAGGCCTTAGGATGAAGACTTGAACTCTAGGTACTTATGGACATAAGACTCAGGAATCTTAGGACGCGCGGTGAGACTGTGAAACCTACACATAACCTCCCCACACTTTATCTCTCCCTTATCTAAAGAAAACTTTCCCCCGCTTATCACAGCAAAAGAAGAAGCACCGAACTCTAACTTAACGTTCTTACAAACGCTGACCCAGAAAGACGACAGCATGGCGCCAAACAGAAGACAATCAAGGACTCCAGAACCCGCCGCACATGACCCCCTGACTCAAACCCTACAACAACTAACACAAGTCGCCCAGGCACTAAGCGATATAGCTCTTCGCAACAACAGGCCCCCGCCCCCTCCATCAAACGCGAACTCAGACGTCGCCCGACGAGTTTCAAACCATCGACCACCCACGTTCTCAGGAGAAGAGGATCCCGAAATCCTGGAGGAATGGATCCGGACCCTCGACAAAATTCTAGGGATAGTAGAATGCCCGGAAGAACGTCGCGTAGAGATAGCCTCGTTCTACTTCGGACACGAGGCCGATCTCTGGTGGATCCACGAGGGGCCCGCTTACCAACAGGAACCAGGGTTCGACTGGGAAGACCTCAAAACGCGACTACGAGAACGGTTTTACCCCAACACACGTAAAAGCATCCATGTACGAAGAGTTCCTCCATTTGAAACAAGGGACAGCTACCGTCATGGAATACCATAAACGATTCCTCGAACTAGCACGCTTCGCGCCAGAACTAGTCCCCACAGAGGTGACCAAAATAGAGAGATTCGTATCAGGCCTCAACTTCGAAGCCCGAAAAGCACTAGTAGTAAGTAGACCTCGGACCCTCAACGAGGCTTACTCTAGTGCCGCAAATCTCTATCGAATCCAACTACTCCAACGTGGGGTTCAGGAACAGATACGAAAGAGAAACACCGGAGGTGGAGCACCACCGGCGAAAAGGACGAGAAACGACACCAACACAAGATCGAGCAATCTGACCAACCAAAGGCCGCCCCTAGGGAACAACGAAGCTAACACAAGGAGCTTCCCTTGCCCGAAATGCAACAAAAGCCATAGAGGTAAAGACTGCATGGGCAATCCCTGGCGATGCTTCAACTGCGGTGAAGAGGGGCACAAGGCCTTCCAGTACACTCAACCCCAAAAGCCACGCCCCACCACCATGGGTCAACACGGGGGCACCACCCACCAAGGAAACTACGGCGCTCCGAGGAAAATATTCGTCATGAGCCGCACCCAGGCCGACCTCGGGAACGAGAGCAATCTCGAGGAGGGGAACCTAACCCCAGAAGACGAGGACCGCGCAAACCCCGCGGAAGAAAACCAAGAAGATGAATTATGTCTAGGATAAACCGGCAAATCCCTTGTAATCACCTTCGTGGTAAAACTACTTACTTAGCTCAATTACTTCGGAATTTTTATAAATAAAAGATTAGATCGAAATCCGATCCTATTTACGAAGATAAAACCAAAATTATATTACAAGCCAAGCCTCCCACCACTAGAAAACAAAAGAGGGAAAAAGACAAGGACCACACCCTCAAGGGCCTAGTGTTATCAATGGGAATTAAACACTTGACCTCCCACACACAAGATCAAGGTCTTAACCACTAAGTTAAGGGTGTTTCTTGAAACCTCAAGGGAACATTATCTTCTTAAAGCCTCCCATCAAACCCTAAAACCCACAAAACCCCCAAATCAAAAACCATTCTTCTTCTTCCTCTTCCTCACTTTCCCTCCTTCCCTCTCCCACTCACCTCACCGTCCTCCCCCCCACGCCGAGACCCACGAACCACCGCCGTCAGCAACCGGACCACCGCCAACCGCCCAGACCACGCCCCGCCGTACGCCGCCGGAGAACGCCCGCGACGCCAGCGCCGCCCGCCACCTACCCGAATTCCACCCGCTGCCACCACTGTCCGACGCCATCAAGGACCGCCGCTCCACCTCGCCAAGCCGACACCGGAGCCCAGTCGCCGCCGCCTCCCTCGCAACGAAGAAAGTCGCACCGCCGGAAAACTCGCCAGAAAACGCACCGGGGCCCCGCCGCAGTCTCGCCGGAAAGTTCGCCGGAAAACTTCACCATCAAGTGAAGCTTCACAATGCCAAAGAAACCCCTCGGAACCCGCACCCCAGAATGGAGCAACGTCGGTTATACCGTGATCGGAGGTAAAGCCCTTGAACCCGACCAATTTTCTCCGGAATTAGTTGATATGCTTAATCACCAAGGGCTTTTGGATACGTATCTCACCATCAAGGGGGATACGTACCCCGAATTGGTTAAATAATTCTACCAACATCTAGTAGCCACCAAACGGGGTGATAAGCTAGAAATCACCACCAAGGTCCGCGGCAAGGAAATCATACTCTCCGAGGGCCGCTTGGCCAAACTCTTAAAGTTGACCACCACGGGTGTGTCAAACTACGATCGAAAGGGGTGGATTGATACCCAAAATACGGGGTACAAGGACTATCTCGGGTACCTACTCGGGAAAGAGGAAGGATTCACATCGGCCACACGACCGAATAGGAAGTGGCTATCGGCGGAACAAAAGATATTGGTTATGATTGTAACCGATAGCCTTTTGCCCACAAACAATAAGAGCAAGGACGTGGGGAGTTTAGAGTGCACCTTTGCCTATCTCTTGAAACACAAAATCAAGTTCAACCTACCGGCCCTCATGCTAAAACACATGGAGTTTTGCAAAACAAGCAACCGACTTAGCCTACCCTACGGGATGATCCTAAGTTGGATCATGGAGAAGAAGGGGGTGGACCTAAGCCACACTGAGGTTAAAACCGCGAATGGCATGATCTTTAACGCCCAGAACCTCCGCCGCAATGATATCTACTACACTGGAGGGGGGGGGGGGGGGGGGACATTACCTCACCCTCGAAGAAATTTGCCTCACACCCGAGGAAGAGCGAAGAAAATTGGTCGACCAATTGGACATCTCCAACAAAAAGCTCAAACGAGCAATGCAGGATTGTGGGGGTCTGGAGGGAAATGAGGATCAGGAGGAGGATGACGAGCCTAACCCATCAGTGCACCCACAATCGGGAGGGAACCCAAGGGAGCAAAACGAGGGTTCGGTCAATGAGCGCATCCTAGCGCAACTCAACCGGCAAAACCAAATCATGGAGGAAGGGTTCTCGTCCTTGATCCGTACGACACGCGCGTTAGATCAGAGAGTGGCAGCAATCGAGGCCGCTTTGGGCACTCGCGGGGCATCCAACTCCGGAGCAGGAGACCGAGGTAGACCCAAACTTTCCTATCACCACACCACCAGAAGTCCAGTCTACCCCAGCTAAGACAAAACGTGGGGGCCATATTCCTAACCAGGAGGCCAAAATGCGGGATGTCCAGGGGTGAAAGAATGTATTAACACACCGGGCTTCAGGGACGAATTCCCTCGTAAGGGGGGGAGAGTGTAACACCCCGTGTTACGACCCCTAAAACCAATTAATCATTTAATCAAATATCCGAAGAAAGAACTAAATTACAATAATTAATTTAGAAAAGGCCCACCATAGTCCGTGGGCCCTCACCCCTAAAACCCAACCCCTAGCCCTAAAAGGAATAGAATTAGCAAGCCTATAATATTAGTTCCTAATTAGGACTCCTAGGTATATAAATAGGGGACTTAAGAGGCACCTAGAACCCCCACCACAATAATCCCTCACCACACAAGAAGTTCCAAGAATTCCCCTAGGAGAAATCAAGAAAGAAGAAAGCTTCAAGAAAGACCCTTCATAGCCAAGGAATTAATTAAGGCTAAAAGGTAACCCATGTCTCAACAAAACCTATTTTCATAGCTATGATTCCCCTCTTAGGATTTCCCCCATATTCTTGTATGTTGATGATTCGTTATAATGATCTTGATAATTGGTGTTATGATTCCATGGGTGATCTTGATGATAAGAGGTTCTTGATGATTATATGGTGTTCTTGATGTTCTTGATGTTTATATGATATTCCTACCGAATCTTGATATTAGAAGACGAATTGTGTTCTTGTTGATCTAAAAATAATTAGAACCCTAGGTTATATCATGGAATTCGTATGGTATTATTCTTGGTATATTGGGTGGGAATTCGCATGTTTGGGTGTTGATTATGTTTAGAAAAGCATGATAGGTTATGTGTCGTATGTTCTTGCTTTTGAATCCGTTAACTGTCTACGTGTTGTTGTCAATTGCGTTTGAAGGTGTCTAAGCATGGTCTCGGGTTCCATAATGGTTCCCGGGGCGTTTTTCTGTGATAAAAGAGTCAGTGGGGGGTAGGTGGGGGTAGGGGACCCGCCACCTACCCGCGGTCTATGATGGTAACGCCGGCAGCGGGCAGCTGCCCGCCGGGCACCCGCTGCCCGGAACGCTGCCGCCGGCGGGTGACTCCTCAACCACCGGCTACCCGCTGGATTTTACCCCACCTTGGGATTTTGGCTTCCCCGTTTGATGCTCCCCCGACCCCCGTGGTGTCCCAACGGACTCCGTCTATCGTGCCTATGTCTAGTTTGATATTTCGGGTATCGTTCGTAGGTGGTATGAGTCTTATATATTGCATGCTAGTTGAATGGGTATCCCGTTGACCTAGGTAAAAGAAGTATGTACCCCTTAGGATTATTCTTAGTATGTGAAGGATCACGCATAAGTTTTGTTATACGTTTTCTCCCCCTTCCTAGTGTGATTAATGTGGGTTGCATGTGCTTGCTATGTGTTATGTGTGCATGATACCCCAATCCGGTTTCGATCGGATTGGTTATTCTTGAGCTGCGGTTCAGAAGCTGGCTGCGGTCAGATTTACACTCTTGGGCTGCGGTCCACCGTTTGGTTGCGATCAAACGTTTCTACATGAGCTGCGGTTCATATTTCCTGGCTGCGGTCCACTGTTTGGTTGCGATCAAACTATAATGAGCTGCGGTTCATCGGTCGGTTGCGATCGACCCCTCCGTGTTGCAATACGGGGCAGGGTGCTGCGGGGCCGTGTCAGAGCTATATGCGCTGACCCTCATGTATGGGCATGCGATTGGTTCTGTGGCACCAACAAAGTGTGCTATGTGATGAGATATGGATGATTGAGTTGTTATGGAAGCGTGACCCTAGGATACATGCTAGTAACTGTATATGCTTGTTTATGACTATTGGCTGTACTTATCTCTATCTGCCTGTGAATTGTGCATGCTTGATTATGTCTGTTGGTTGTGTCTATCCCTATCTGTCGAGTCTATTCCCTGTTTGAAAGCTAGAGTCTCTTAGGATATATCTTCATGCTTCGAAATGGTCTTTCGTATAACTATGTATATATCTATATGTATTGTATTTCAACGCGTTGGAGTGGGTTACCAGCATCTCTCGCTGAACAGATATATTTGGCTTTCAGGCACAGACGAGTAGATCACTGGAGCGCGCTAGAGGTTTGGGGCGTAGATTAGATAGTTTTCCCTTTCGGCCTGCGTGCCATGAGTTGTATTGATACTGATTGAGATTGTTAGAATCTAGCCTGTGCACCTGAGTTCTCTAGCTCAGGTGTGGCATAGCACCCCGTACTCTTATATTATGTTTTGAGAATTAATGAGATTTCACCTTTATTATATAAGCTCCAAAAGTTTAAAAATTTCGGGGTGTTACAGGTAGGGCCAATTATACCAGGTAGGGGTCTCCCGCAAGGGGACCCGCTGTCTCCCTACTTGTTCTTGTTTGTTGTCGAGGGGTTGAGTGCCATGATCGAAAGGAAGATGTCTGCAGGGCTCTTGCATGGTGTCACTGTTGCGAGAGGGGCACCTACCATTTCTCATTTGCTGTTTGCCGATGATTGCTTTCTGTTTCATCGGGCAGACGTGGAGGAGAGTGTGCAAATGAGATACGTGTTGGATACTTATGCCAAGGCTTCTGGACAGCATATCAATTATGAAAAGTCAGCAGCTTGTTTCAGTGCGAATGTGCCGCAGAATGTGCGTAATGAAGTTGTGGATATCCTGGGTGTGGAGGAAGGGGATACTACTGGGAGGTACCTGGGCTTGCCATCGCTGGTTGGCAAACGGAAGAGGGCTATTCTAGGCTTTCTGAAGGAACGGATTTTGGCACGAATTCGTTCTTGGAATTCTAAGTATCTGTCTAGGGCCGGACGGGAAGTGCTACTGAAGAATGTGATACAGGCGATGCCGGCTTATGCAATGATGGTTTACTTGTTACCTCTTGGGCTTTGTCGTGACATTCAGAACATCATGAACCAGTATTGGTGGACAGGCTGTGTGGGGGATGGCCGTGGGATTAGATGGCGCACCTCGGAGGGCTTGTGTAAACCGAAGGCTGTGAGTGGGATGGGTTTTCGTCGTTTTCATGAGATGAATAAAGCTCTTCTCGGAAAGCAGGCCTGGAGGCTAATCACTAGGCCGACGAGTCTGGTGGCTCGGGTGTTTAAGGCACGGTACTACCCTCATTGTGATTATTTCGGGGCTTCGGAAGGGAATAACTTGTCTTATATTTGGAGGGGTATGTATGAGGTGAAAAGTATCCTGATGGCCGGGTGCAGGAAGGCGGTAGGGGATGGGAAGGACATTGTTATTGGCTCGGATCCGTGGTTGCCAGTGGATCAGAATCCGTATGTCGAAACTGACTTGCATCAGTCAGTGTTTGAAGCACCGGTGTCCTCTCTCATGAATGTGCAAGGTACTAGTTGTGATGTGGGTTGTGTGAATGATATCTTTAATCCACGTGATGCTAATTTGATTCTTAATATTCCTCTTAGCATATGCAAGCCTCGTGATCAGTGGGTATGACATTGGGATCAGAAGGGCACTTATACGGTTAAATCTTGTTATAAACAGCTTACAATGGTACCTGCGGATGCCCGTCCGTGGTCGAGTATATGGGGGCTCCACATCCCTCCTAAGGTGAAGAACTTTAGTTGGCAGTTGGCATCATCTTTCTTGCCGACATGTGATAATCTATTATCTAAGAATGTTGCATGCTCTTTGTATTGTCATATGTGCAGGGAAGTTGAGAAGACTGGCCTTCATTTGTTTGCTTTTTGCACTAAAGTAGCCAACCTGTGGAATAATTTGGGAATGCCCCACATCAGTGCCTTTATAGGTAATCGTGTGAATGATTGGTTTTTCTGGGTTTTGAATTCATTAAATGCTGATCAGTTGCCTGTCTTTATGATGGTAGTATGGGGTATCTGGTGCAGTAGAAATTACAGTGTGTGGAAGGGGGTGGATGCTGACCTTAGCTCAGTGGTACAAAGGGCTATGCTGTTTCTGGATAATTGGAGGAGCGCAAATGAGCCGGTTATACAACAACCTGCTCAAACACGTGTGGACACATGGTCCAAGCCACCTTTAGGCAGATTGAAGTTAAATACGGATGCCTCCCTGATGGAGGGTAGTAGATTGATGAGCTTTGGTTGGGTTTTGCGGGATGACTTTGGAAATTTTCTCGCTGCGAAGAACATGTTAGTGCCCGGGGTATATATGGTCAAAGAAGCTGAAATTTTGAGTATCCGGGAGGCTCTGAGCTGGTTGAAGAATACAGGTATGAGTGCTGTGGATGTTGAAACGGACTGCCAAGTTGTTTATAATGCAATTCGATCACCTTCTTTTAATTCTGCTTTCGGGTTCTTAGTTGATGATGTTAGGAATTTAGCATTGGATATTGATGATGTTAAATTCTGTTATGCTAGGCGATCTGCGAATTGTGCCGCCCATTCTGTTGCTAGGGAGACCTTTTCCGAGTCAGGTTGCGGGGAGTGGTTTGATACTCCCCCATCTTTTCTTGTAAACATTCTTGCTCGTGATTCAATGAATTAATCTTATTCTTTCAAAAAAAAAAAAAAAAAAAAAACACGGAGCGTTTGATTAATACATCTTGTGATAAATTATATCATAAACTAGAATTCATCTTGTATTGTAAAACAAATTTTATTGTGGACTGTGGTCCACATGGACCATGGTCAAAACTGCCCCATTTTGAATTTTGTCTGTTAATAATGATAGACAACGAATTTTGTTATGGTATGTCCATGTAGCAACATCCATCATTATTCAGAATTATTTTATACATACACACTAGTTCAACTACAACACCACTACGTATAATATTCAGTTTTTTTTTTTTTTTTTTTTTGGTTTGTTTGTTTTTTTTTTTTTTTTTTTTTTTTTTTTTTTTTTTTTGTATAAATCACGAGATGGTCTAGATCTACCCAACTATTCCCGTTCGCTTCGGAAGGAACGGAAAATGATCCAAGGAAAATTGTCACTTGTGAAAATCAAACTTAGATTATTCCATAATTCCCCCTCCCCTCACCCCCTACAAAGAGATCTCATTTGTCAATTGAGCTACCCCATTGGGTTAAAGAAATTGAAATTAAGACAGGCTAATAATATTCCTCCCTCTACAGAATGCAACCACAAAGGAAATAAAAAATTATAAATAAGAAAACGATCATCATTTATTCCCTTACAATAAACAACAAAAATATGCATGAAAAAAAGAGAACAAAATCAAGCTTTGCATGAAATGGTACAAGCTAAGCAAGCAGAAATATAATATAATGTCGTCTCGCCATTTCTACATGCCTTATGTCACCCCATCATCACGAAATCTGATATGCAACGTAACCGCGTACCATATTTCCACATCTGTAACAATAACTAGGAGTTCTATTCCCTTCTTTAATTAATTGCAAGTTTTTAAATGAAAATCTTTAATTTTTTTTTTTTTTTTTTTACGTATAAGAAAAATTGTGAATTTCGTATTGAGTTTCAAACTTATATATTAGATTATATAAAATATTTTAACGCTATTATATGAATATAAAATTAGTCATTACTTTTTGAAATTCATAAAATCTTGATCTGATTACTAATTTTCAATACAACACACTTATAATATATTTAATTATAACTGGACACAATCCGTCATTGCTTGACAAAATACATTTTCAGTGCAATAAAATTATATTTTCAGTGCTTTCAAGCACTACAAAATAAACTAAAATGATATTGAAGTACATTAATTTCATAGAAAATTAGAAACATAAAACTAAGGAAAATATTAAATATTGTAAGAATAATTCAAGTTAGATATAATTGTGAGGCAAAGAACAATTGCGGCAAACATCAAAACTGCAAAGTAGAGAACAAGCTATAAAGAAATCAAATAAAATATTTAAGAGAAATACCAGCGAGAATATGAGCTGAAGGGATTTAGATTAACTTCTATTTTATTATTATTATTATTATTATTATTATTATTATTATTATTATTATTATTATTATTATTATTATTATTATTATTATATTTATTTATTAAAAAAAAAAAACAAACAAACGGTATTCGGTTCGGTTCAATTTAGTTTTTTACCGAACTATTCGGTTCGGTTCAATTTTTTACCAAACTGTTCGATATATAAGAAACCATTATTGTTCGGTTGTTCGGTATATTACCAAACCGAACTAGTTCAATTTGGTTCGGTTTGATTCAAAAAAACCAAATCAAATTGCCCAGCCCTAACATTAACTAAGTGGCCTGGTCACTATCATATGAATATAAAATTAGTGATTATTTTTTGAAATTCTGAAAATCTTAGTTAAATTATGCTAAGAATAGTACTCCGCAATTGTGTATGCTATTATGGTAAATATAAGAGAAGATGAAATAAAGCAGTATAGTTATAATATATATGTATAACTCTTAAGGCAAAAAGTGTGATGATAAATAGAAATCTTGCTAGTCTTCCCATTCCTTGAAGACAAATAGCCCTATATAAATATGTAGGCCTGCATTCAAATATCATATACACTTTCTGCCTTCAACTTTCTTCACTTGAAATTAACACAAATGGGTAGCCAAATTCTAATACTTCTCTTGCTCTGTCTCCTCTTTTTAATTTCCTCTGTTTCCTTATCTGCATATGCTTTGTGCCAAAATGATGAACGTCTTGCCCTACTCCATTTCAAACAGTCCTTTAAAATAGATACCAATCCAATAGATTATTGTGTCCAGAGTTCCATTCAGCAGAATTCCTATGAAAGTGTCCAGAATTCCTATCCAAAAACCACTTCTTGGAATAGTAGCACCGATTGCTGCTTGTGGGATGGAGTTACATGTGACGAGTCCACAGGCCAAGTGATTGAGCTTGATCTCAGTTGCAGTCGACTTCGAGGAACAATTGATTCCAATAGCTCTCTCTTTCACCTCTCTCATCTACAAAAGTTAAATCTTGCAGGGAATCAATTCTATGGGTCATTGATTTCACATAAATTTGGAGACTTTTCTTATCTCACACATCTCAACCTTTCAAGCTCAAGATTGTCAGGTCAAATTCCTTTAAAAATCTTACATCTTCCCAACTTAATTTCTCTTGATCTAGGTGACTCTTTCTACGACTACTCTGCTTTAGAAATTGAAAATGATGATTTCATGTTTCTCCTTCAAAATGCAACACAGTTAAGGGAAATAGTTCTGGATGGAATACCGATCCATTCAACTATACCACATAATGTCTCTTCTTCCATAACAACGTTGAGTCTTTCTTACACAGAATTAAAAGGAAGTTTGCCCTCAACCATCTTTCACCTCCCAAATTTGAAAAAACTTTTTTTAAAAGGCAACCAGAATCTCACAATTCGCTTTCCAAGCATCAGATGGAACAGTAGTTTGTCTCTCTCATATTTGGATCTCGGCTATACTAGATGTCCTCCACACATTATTGAATCTCTTAGGAATCTTAGCAGAGTCAAGTTTTTGGGATTAGCAAACTGTGGATTAAGGGGTAATGTTTCAGAGACTATTTTAGATCTTGAGCAACTCATATCATTAAATCTTCGTGATAACAATTTGGAAGGTGGCTTTGCTGATTTGTTTATAAAGCTCTGGAGGTTGAAAAAGTTATTTCTTTCTGATAACAGCATCACTGCCCAATTTCCGTCTTCCATCACAAACATTACTCATCTGGAGGCCTTAGATCTCTCAAACAATTCACTCTGTGGAACAGTACCCTCTTTGGCTTTTTAATCATTCTACTCTATACTACCTTGACCTTTCATCCAACAATTTCAGCGGTACTGTAGAGCTCAACATGTTCTCAAACCTCAAAAGAATTATAATGCTAGATCTATCTCACAACCGCCTATCAGTAGTCTCCAATCCCAAAACCAACTCGACAAGTTGGTCTGAAAACTTACTTTGGTTGGCGTTATCGTCATGCAATTTGACGAATTTGAATTTTTTAAGAGATTCAAAGTCCCTTTTTTATCTAGATCTTTCCAACAATAAAATACAAGAAAGAATTCCAGAATGGGCTTGGTCAAACTGGCAGGACACATTGTGGTATCTTTATCTATCCCACAACTACCTCACTAGTGTGGAAGGAATTCATCAACTTCATTCAATTGATACTATTGATCTCCAATTCAACTTGCTAGAAGGGTCACTTCCTATTCCATCATCTCCCTTCTTAGCATATTATTTTGCATCACAGAACAAACTCAGTGGTGAGATGCCTTTCACTGTATGCAATTTAAGCAATGTTCAAATTCTAGACTTGGCCAACAACAATTTAAGTCGTGCAATCCCGCAATGTCTTGGAAACTCTAGCAAGTTTTTGGAGGTACTGGACCTGCATAACAATGAATTCCGTGGTTCCATTCCTTCAACTTTTTCCACAGCAAATCAATTACATACTCTTAATTTGAGAGGAAATAAGTTGGAAGGAAGAATTCCACGATCTTTGGCCAGTTGTATTAATTTGGTAGTTCTTGATCTTGGAGAAAACAACTTGAGCTATATATTCCCCGAGTGGTTGTTAACACTCCCAAAATTACAGGTACTTAGTCTGAGATCTAACCACTTCCATGGCACCATAACTACTTCACCAACTAAACACCTGTCTTCTCAGCTAAAGATCATTGATCTCTCCCACAATGAGTTTACTGGGAATTTGCCGGTTTGGTTGTTCAAGAGCTTTACTGCTATGAAAGACACCGATGAAGATAGAAAGCCACCAAGTTATTTAGGGGATCAAAGCAACAGGTACTACAAAGACACTTTGGTGCTAACATGGAAGGGAAGCATGCTTAATTTTGTAAAAGTCTTAACTGTGTTAACCACCATTGATCTCTCAAGTAATAAATTTGAAGGGGAAATTCCTGGGGCCATAGGACAACTTCTTTCCCTCCGAGGTTTGAATTTATCGCACAACATGTTGTGTGGTAGTATCCCCCGTTCTTTTGGAAAACTATCCTCGTTGGAATCATTAGACCTTTCCTCAAATCAGCTTGTGGGGGAAATTCCAAAGGAGTTGGCACCTCTTACATTTCTTTGTGTTTTCAAACTCTCTCATAATCATCTTACAGGATGCATACCCAAGGGGAATCAATTCAACACATTTGATAAGGGTTCTTACGAAGGGAATGATGGCCTGCGTGGATATCCAATGACAAAAGACTGTGGGAATGGTGTCTCATCTCAACAACCTACTCTAGAAGTGCTCCATCAAGAAGACAATGTGAGCATTTTAGATGGTTGTACCTGGAAAGTTGTGTTGTTGGGCTATGGTTGTGGCGTTGTTTTTGGAATGGTAATGAGGAGTCTCATGCTTTTAACTCGAAAGCCTTATTGGATTACAAAATTTGTTGAAGAAGAAGGATGCAGAATTTTGAGGAAATTGAAGAACAGAAAGAGGTCAAAGACACCAAGGAATGGAAGAAGAAGAAGAAACTAGGTATGGTGTAATTAATAAATATTTTTGGTTAAGATCTTTCTTTTTTTTTTTTTACAACTGATTTTGAGTTACTGTTTTCAGGGCTTTAACTCTACTTTGATGCAAAGGACAGATTGCACTTCAAACTCAACACTAGTAGATAAGATAGTTTAAATAAATTTCACTTTCTCATATGTCCATGTAATGATCTATTAGATTATCCTTCACTTCAATTTGCAATAAATGTTCTCTCAATAGTAAAATGTTTTGAAAAATAGCTAATTGTTTAATGCACTTTGGTTTGCAATTAATAACATGTTCAATAAGTTGCTACTTATAACCATTATATTGTAGACTTGGGATTGAAAACTGAAGGACCGCATGTTCAATAGTTGATAATAATCACTGATTAAGGTTAATGATTACAACTTACAAGAATAGTTCAGTTAATGCATGAAATACATTGTAAACCTATAATTTGTATAAATAAACTGAACGTATATAATTTGTCAACTGCAAAATACATAATATATTAATTATAACAAGTACATAATTTGTTAACTAAAGATACATAAATACATGTACATAATCTAGACAAAAAACCACAATGTGCATGGTGAATCTTGATTCATGGTATAACAATTGATGAGTGCATAGTATGTGGCTGGGGGAAAGCGCAGATTAATGCACAAAAATAGCCGAAGAGCTGGTCGGAAAGCGCAAATGATTAAACAAACTGAAAATTAACACATGCTAATAATATTCCTCCCTCTACAAAATGTAAACACAAAGGGGAAAAAAAAAATTCTAAAGAAAAATATTAAGAAAATGATCATCCTTCATTCCTTCTAGTACAATAAACAACAAAAATATGCAAGAAAAAAGAACAAAACCAAGCTTTGCATGGGTCGTCTCGCCATCTTCAATTACTTCATTTCATTGAATGTATCTCGATCCGTAAGATTAGTACATAACAGAATTAAAAAGCTTCAGCTGCCATTTCTACATGCTTTATGTCATCCCACCATTCGTAGGAGACTCATCTGATGTGCAACGTCACCTTGTAGTTCATAGAAAGTAATCTGGTGTTCTTCGGGTTACGTCTGGCTCACCTCTCCTCGGAGCTGGCTCAAACTGCAATATAGTTTCAAACTCAATATTTCATTACACAATCTAATATCCTTTAGATAAAGCTAAGGATGGGGAAGAGAGACCTGAATAAAAGTGTGTCCTTTGTTGCCGTCATCAACTTCCAGTATGGATGCCATATTTCCACATCGGTAACAATAGTTAGGAGCACTGAATATGGTAACAACCTTCTGGTCCTGCAAAAGCAAATTAAAGTAAATGGATCTCATTCTTCATTCTCCCTAATGAAAATTACAAATAGAAATGGGCATGGAGAAATTTTCCATTTTTCTGAAGGAAAACAGAGAATTCGGAAAAACATAATTTTTTAAATGGAAAATTTAGGGTCCCAAAAAAATAATGGAAAATTGAAGTAAACGCAGCTTTGCTTATAGACAAATTATTACATGAGCCCAATTATATCCATCCATAACCAGCTGGTATGCTCTAGCAATAAGCTTCAAGCTGTTAGTATGGTTAAATTGCTCTGATATGTCCTGTTAAATGTTGGGTAATATGGTTGTAAAATCCCAAAATAATAATAATCCTACGGAAAGATTAATATTATATGGGAAAACAGAAACTAGGAAGGAAAAGGTTGAGTGTTTGGGGTAAAGGCTTTAGCACGAGTTCGAACACAAGGTTCTTTTCCTTAAAACCTTATTTGCTACCTCCCACAAGTGCTAGGAGCGTTGTAGCCTAGGTTTCCCAGGATAAAACGTGCTACGACTCTTTGTTTAAGCACCTAAACAAAGAGCCCGGCGAACAAAACAAAGCTGGAACACAGCTGGGGAAAGAAGAGAGTAGAAGCAGAAGTTTTGAAGCTGAAAACTATACTGGAATTCCTTCGTTTTTCTCACTGTGTGTGTAAAATGCTTCTGCCCAACCTCTTCTTTATATAGGGCTCGTTGGAAGGGATAGCATTCAACATGGCAGTAAATTGGGATTAAAACCAATTGTATAACACCTGTAACGGTCACCCACTAAGTAGGATTAAACTCAGAATTTAAAATTGGAATTAAAACAGTATTAATTCCGTAACAGATGAGTTTAATCTGTACAACAGGCTGAACTTTCGGGTTTCAGACCGTTGGGGTGCAGGTTCACACGAGAGCACACGGACCAAGTGACTATATCTTGTTTCCAAACCAATGTGGGACAAAGTCCTACATTTTCCCTTCATTTCCCAACTTAAATGGGTCTACTTTGAGAATCAATATCTCATTCACCCATTATCCGTTTTGAGCGTACAATATATCAATCTCTTCGTCTTACTACGAAGAATCCGAATCCACTTTGACCCGACCCAAATCGGAAGTGGACCCCACTGATAATTGTACCACAAGGTAGCCACTTATAATGCCATTTTATGTCATTTTTAAGCAAATTTTCCAACAATCCCCCACATGAATGAAAAATTGATTTTCGGGGTATTTTTTTTAAAATCGGAAACAACTGTGTTCAACGGTCGATCCCTGCATAGGATAGGTAGGGTCACACCCTTTGAACCTTCCCTCGTGAAGATACATTTACTCTACTGGCTGTACGGTAGAACGCGATGTCTTTGAACCGACTGCCGTTTGTGTAGACGATGACATATCTCACACAGGAATCTCCCAACAATGCTTTGTTCTCATGATTGTGCCCATTTTGGTCGTGGGTCACCATTCCTGGTTCTGTAAGAGTTTGTGAATAATTGTGCCCGTCAATTCTCCTTTGAAGCGACCCTCACTTCTCTTTCACATAGGTGATTCTTTCTCGAGTATCCCGCATACTCACATATGTCAACCGACATTCGAATCACTAAAGCATTTAACATGCTAACCTTGTGTGGGAGCCACTGTTTCTAACGAGGAGTGGTAGGGAATCCGAGACCCCCACAGTGACACGCTCCGTTCCATAATTTAGTTGTCCCATTGAACCTAGGTGCCAGCTAGGTTGGGTGTCCACTATAGAACTTATACCAAGGGCTTTAGACCCATTCCTCGTCTCAACTTCTCCACAGCTACTCTACATAACCCTTTGGTTAGCGGATCCGCTATATTGTCTTCTGACTTTACGTAGTCAATCGAGACAACACCAGTTGTGAGAAGTTGTCTAATGGTATTATGTCTACGACGCACATGTCTAGACTTACCATTATACATATGATTCTGTACTCGCCCAATTGCAGCTTGACTATCGCAATGCACACACATTGGAGGTACAGGTCTTTCCCAATTAGGAATATCCTCTAAAAAATGGCGTAGCCATTCAGCCTCTTCACAACATTTGTCCAAGGCTATCAGCTCAGATTCCATCGTGGATCTAGCTATCACGGTCTGTTTAGAGGATTTCCATGCAACGGCTGCACCGGCTAGTGTAAACACATAGCCACTAGTGGACTTGGAGTCCTTAATGTCAGATATCCAGCTAGCGTCGCTATACCCTTCAAGTACAGCAGGATATCTCCCATAGTGCAGTCCAAGGTCTCGAGTATACCTTAAGTATCTCAGAACCTTCACTATTGCCGTCCAGTGCATGGCACCGGGGTTACTTGTATATCTACTGAGTTTACTAACCGCAAATGCAATATCCGGTCTAGTACAGCTCATAAGATACATCAAACTACCAATAACCCGAGCATATTCTACTTGAGAAATACATTCTCCGTGGTTTTTGGTTAGATGAACGCTTCGATCTAGGGGCGTCCTAGTCCCTTGATGATTATCCTTGATAAATTTCCCAAGGATTTTATCAATATAGTGAGATTGGCTCAACACAAGACCATCAGGTCTTCTAATGATTCTAATCCCGAGGATTAAATCAGCCAAACCCATATCTTTCATGTCAAATCTCGCATTTAACATGGTTTTGGTAGACTTGATCATCCGATCGTTACTACCAACGATGAGTATATCATCTACGTATAAACAGAGAATGACATAGCCGTCTATCGTTTCCTTAACGTAGACACATTTGTCACTTTCGTTTATTTTAAATCCATTAGTTAACATCGCATGGTCAAACTTCTCGTGCCATTGTTTAGGCGCTTGTTTTAAACCATATAGCGATTTAACCAACTTACACACTTTCCTTTCTTGGCCCGGAACCACGAACCCTTCGGGTTGTTCCATGTAGATTTCCTCATCTAGTTCGCCATTTAGGAAAGCGGTTTTAACGTCCATTTGATGAACTTCTAAATTCCGCAACGCGGCTATAGCAAGTATCATTCTAATGGAATTTATTCTCGTCACGGGAGAATACGTGTCGAAGTAATCAAGGCCCTCGCGTTGCCTGTAACCCTTGATTACAAGCCTAGCCTTATACTTCTCGATGGAACCATCGGGTTTCATCTTCCTTTTAAAGACCCACTTGGATCCTAAGGGTTTACTACCCGGAGGAAGATCAACAAGTTCCCAAGTGTGATTCTGTAAAATAGAATCCACTTCACTTTTAATAGCCTCTTTCCACATTGGTCCTTCTGTAGAAGTCACGGCTTCTCCGTACGTTCGAGGCTCGTTTTCTATCAAACAAGATAGAAAATCGGGTTCATTTTCTAATAAACAAGTTAGAGTACTCGAATCGTACTCCAACAAGTAAGTTAGAAAATCAGGACCAAATGATTTTCCAACTCTCGCCCGCTTACTGCGTCTTGGCTCGAGCTCGGGTTCTCTCTCGGATTCCCCACTATCATTATCCATAGCTTCGTCAAACGTTCGTTTTGACGAACTCGGTCCCTCATTGGACCTACAAGGAAATACATTTTCAAAGAAAGATGCATTCCTTGATTCTATTATCGTGTTCTCGTGTACGTCCGGATTATGGGACTCGTGTACTAAGAACCGATAAGCACTACTATTATGTGCATAGCCAATAAAGATACAGTCCACTGTCTTAGGACCTATCTTTACTTTCTTAGGTGTTGGCACCAAAACTTTGGCAAGACACCCCCACACTTTCAAGTACTGGTAGGAAGGTTTCCTACCGTTCCACAGCTCATAAGGAGTCTTATCAAACTTCTTGTGGGGTACCTTATTTAAAAGGTAATTACTTGTCAAAATAGCCTCACCCCACGCGTCTTGAGGTAGGCCCGAACTTATAAGCATCGCATTCATCATATCTTTCAATGTACGATTCTTTCGTTCGGCAACACCGTTCGATTGAGGTGAGTAAGGTGCAGTACGCTCGTGTATTATACCTACACTCGCACAGAAGTCACCAATAGGTGCTTCGTACTCACCACCTCTATCGCTCCTAACTTTCTTAATCTTTTGATTAAGTTGGTTTTCAACTTCATTCTTATAAAGAATGAATTTTTCCAAGGCTTCGTCTTTGCTTTTAAGCAAATACACATAGCAATAACGTGTGCTATCGTCGATAAAGGTGATAAAATATTTATTACCACCTCTCGTTTGTATCGATCTAAAATCGCACAAATCACTATGGATTAATTCTAGTGGTTCAGTTTCCCTTTCAACCGATTTGAAAGGTACTTTCGTTAATTTTGCCTCAACACAAATTTCACACTTGTTATTTGTGTTAATATGAAAGTTAGGAATTAGGTTCATGTTAATTAATCTACGCATAGAATTATAATTAACGTGACCTAGTCTACCATGCCACAAATTGGAAGACTCAAGCAAGTAAACGGAAGTAACTTTGCTTTTATTCATAATAGGCATTACATTGAGCTTAAAGAGCCCATTGGTTACATAACCTTTGCCTACAAACATTCCTAACTTAGACAAAACAACCTTGTCTGACTCGAACACCATGCGAAAGCCATGCTTGTTCAACAGTGAGCCAGACACCAGATTCTTCCTCAGCTCTGGAACATACAGCACGTTGTTCAACGTCAGTTCCTTCCCGGAAGTCATCTTCAGAACCACCTTGCCCATGCCTTCCACAGCAGACTGAGCAGAGTTTCCCATCCAAACCTTCTCGCCCTCAACGGTCTCAAAGGTGTTGAACATCTCTCGGTTGCAACACAAATGCCTTGTTGCACCAGTGTCGATGAACCACTCTCGTGGGTTAGAGTCCACGAGGTTCACCTCGGTCACCATAGCCGAAAGGCTAATCTCGACCTCCTTCTGATTGCTTTCCTCAACCATGTTGGCTTCAGAACTCTTGTTCTTCTTCTTAGGAACTTTGCATTCAGAGGACTTGTGGCCAGTCTTGCCACAATTGAAGCATTTTCCATGAAATTTCTTCTTGGTAATGCCTCCTTTCGGACCTAGCTTCTGCTTGTCCTTCTTGTTCTTCTTGGAGCCTTTGGCATGCTCCACAACATTGGCCTTAGCGCCAACAGTGACAGTATTTCTGCCATCATTCGTCCTGTTCCCCTCCTCAATTCGGAGTCGCTGGATCAGGTCCTCCAGGTTCATTTCCTTTCGCTTATGCTTGAGGTAATTCTTGAAGTCCTTCCACCCTGGAGGCAGCAAGTGGATAACGGATCCCACTAGGAAGGCTTCACTCAACTTCATGCCTTCGTCACGGATTTCATCAAAGATTAGTTGTAAATCCTCAACCTGACTTAGCACGGTCTTGGAATCAACCATTTTGAAGTCAAGGAATCGGCCAACCACAAATTTCTTTGCGCCGGCATCCTCACTTCGGTATTTATGATCCAAGGCTTCCCACAATGCTTTTGCTGTGCCTATCTTGCGATATACATCGTATAAAGCATCACATAATCCGTTTAGGATGTAGTTTCGGCATAGGAAGTCCGAATCCTTCCAATAGCCAACTGCCATCACGGATTGGGCATCTTGTTCCCTTAATTCGGGAACCTTCTCGGTTAAGAATCTCGCCAAGCCGAGAGTTGCCAGGTAGAACAACATCTTTTGCTGCCACCTCTTGAAATTCGATCCAATACCGGTGAATTTCTCCGGTCTTTCGGCCGAACCACTCGGTACCGTAGGTACCCGAGTCATGGGAATATATCCCTCGGTGCTCCCACCATCTTGTGAACCAACGTTCACTGGTGTAGCCTGGGAATTAGCAACATTATTGCCATTCCCACCACTGTTGTTCTCAACAACATTCTCCTCCCCGAGAGCTGGCAAAACTGGATTCTCCATTTCTTCTAGGAAATTAGAGATAAACAACCAACGGGAAACGGATATAAGGTTTTAAGATTGTTGGGTAATATGGTTGTAAAATCCCAAAATAATAATAATCCTACGGAAAGATTAATATTATATGGGAAAACAGAAACTAGGAAGGAAAAGGTTGAGTGTTTGGGGTAAAGGCTTTAGCACGAGTTCGAACACAAGGTTCTTTTCCTTAAAACCTTATTTGCTACCTCCCACAAGTGCTAGGAGCGTTGTAGCCTAGGTTTCCCAGGATAAAACGTGCTACGACTCTTTGTTTAAGCACCTAAACAAAGAGCCCGGCGAACAAAACAAAGCTGGAACACAGCTGGGGAAAGAAGAGAGTAGAAGCAGAAGTTTTGAAGCTGAAAACTATACTGGAATTCCTTCATTTTTCTCACTGTGTGTGTAAAATGCTTCTGCCCAACCTCTTCTTTATATAGGGCTCGTTGGAAGGGATAGCATTCAACATGGCAGTAAATTGGGATTAAAACCAATTGTATAACACCTGTAACGGTCACCCACTAAGTAGGATTAAACTCAGAATTTAAAATTGGAATTAAAACAGTATTAATTCCGTAACAGATGAGTTTAATCTGTACAACAGGCTGAACTTTCGGGTTTCAGACCGTTGGGGTGCAGGTTCACACGAGAGCACACGGACCAGCAACACGAGAGTACATCTCTCGCGTGCACTGTGGTGCAACCCGAGAGTGCACTGCTCTCGTGGTCACAGATGCACGAGAGTTGTGCTCTCGGTGCACCACAACCTCTCGTGCTACACACGAGAGTAGGTGCTCTCGGTTCGGTTTTGACCGAACCAAGTGACTATATCAGATGGAAAATGATACCGAAGTTAGGCATAACTTAGCCCGTAAGGCCAGCCCATTTCCGGACGACATTCGTGCCCGCGCACGCGAGCTCGGGCTTGATTTCAAGCCTTTTGATGTCCTCTAGTTGGATTTTGATTTGCACCCCCCCCCCCCCCCCCCCCCGCGCGAGAGAGCCTCTATGCTATACAATTCTACAAGCTTGAAAAGAGCTCATGTATATAAGGGGGGCAAATCTTGTTTCCAAACCAATGTGGGACAAAGTCCTACATTTTCCCTTCATTTCCCAACTTAAATGGGTCTACTTTGAGAATCAATATCTCATTCACCCATTATCCGTTTTGAGCGTACAATATATCAATCTCTTCGTCTTACTACGAAGAATCCGAATCCACTTTGACCCGACCCAAATCGGAAGTGGACCCCACTGATAATTGTACCACAAGGTAGCCACTTATAATGCCATTTTATGTCATTTTTAAGCTAATTTTCCAACAATCCCCCACATGAATGAAAAATTGATTTTCGGGGTATTTTTTTTAAAATCGGAAACAACTGTGTTCAACGGTCGATCCCTGCATAGGATAGGTAGGGTCACACCCTTTGAACCTTCCCTCGTGAAGATACATTTACTCTACTGGCTGTACGGTAGAACGCGATGTCTTTGAACCGACTGCCGTTTGTGTAGACGATGACATATCTCACACAGGAATCTCCCAACAATGCTTTGTTCTCATGATTGTGCCCATTTTGGTCGTGGGTCACCATTCCTGGTTCTGTAAGAGTTTGTGAATAACACGATAATTTTTCAACATTAAATTCAAATAACACGATAAAATAGTTAATTAGTATGCAGGAGTGCTATCGAACTTCTAAAACTGATCAAAAAGTAAAATTAGTATATAGAAGCTAGCTCAAAATTAAATTACTTGGCCAAATGTATATCCTGCACCCCTAGGTGATATACCCCAACCGCAACGATCGTCAGGATCAGACCATAGAAGATCACACATTGGCCCTTCATGTGGAACTTCTTGTACACGATCAAAATTACGGATATTATCAAGAGTTTCAATAGATGGAGACAAACCACCATGGAGACAAAATATTTCAGACTCCACCTACAGATACAACAAATTTATAGGAAATGCAAAATCACAACCAGAAACTGACTGAAAAGAACATTTACATCAATGGACACAGTAAATTAAGTAGCAAAATTATATATATTCTCTAGCTACCAACATGAGCATGCAAAAACTTCAGTGTATATAGTGGTATTAAGAGGTATACGTACAAAGAGTAACAACTAGAGCATTGTATATTTAGAGACCTCCCTACATGTTGGTTGGAAAAGCAATATATTGTTAACCAACATTAAATTCACTGCATGATATGGAAAGACAGGACACATAAATTACAAATACTCCCTCTCACATTTCTATTGCAACTCTTAACTTCTTGGGGATCAACTCATCAACTTTGTCCAATAGCCAAGGCATTTTTCTTTAAATTTTAGATATTTTGATGGAGTTAGTACTACTTTTCTTGCAGTTCTGAATATCAAAACTTAAGTTAGAAGAAGAAGACACACACCCATACCCCAGCCAGTTTGGACAATAGCAATGGGACAGTGGAAGTGTCAAATACATCATGACTTGCACCGCCCTCTCTTTGTAGTTATTTTTTCACTCTTGAAATTGGCATAAAGTTTTAGAAACCCATTCTTTACAAATTATCATTTATCAGTAATGCACATGTGGGAACCTAAATTGTTAACCATTCAAAAAATGATAAAACATGACTATAGAAATATTGATATTCAACAGGCCACTACATTGGGACGTCCCAAGTTAGAAAGACACAGCTAATGGGAATTGGGAAACTAATTTTGGAAGCATGAAGCGCCAAACTAGTCGTGCATGTACATGACTGCATACCGTTCCAAACTAGAGGTTGTTTTATGCAACAAGCATCAGAAAGACTGATAATTGGAATTTCATGTCATTCCAACTAATGCCATGAGTCAAGTCAGTAACTGACACCCACATATGTGGGAGGCCCAAAATATTCCACATAGGTTTACAAGAGATTCAAGATAATGAGATGCTGTACTGACCAATGCTGTAAGTGGAAAATAGTCGAACAGATCTGTGAAAGTCTTCCAGACATTGGCATTACCATATCTGTAAAATGCAACTGCAGTGAATCAACACAGGTATGCAAATATAAGACCTTTAAAAGAAAAAATAATTAGAAGAGAAAAAACTGTGAAAAGAACTTATCCAGAAGACATGTACACTTATCAGAAATACCATTTAATGCACCTTGAAGCATAAAAGACCAAACTGCAAAGGTATTCCAGCTTAATTGCAGTTTCGAAACATAAATATGTGATAGTAATATTTTATCCGTCATATGCTTCTTGCCATTCTTAGGTGACTATGCATGCCATATTTAGAGACTGGATTTTATATCCAACCTAATAAATATAAAATCAATTTCTGTGCTACATGTTTGATCAAATACTGCTTATAGTTTCCTAAGTTATAGTTTTCATCATGAGATAAGGACCAGAACATAGACATTATCAAACATTAAGTCCCGATTATAATTAACTGGTATTACCTAATATCCAACAGATTACCACTCACTAGTAATTAAATAACATATCATAACAAATAGAAGTGAAAACGAGAACTGTTGATTACATATTGTTTCTTCTGTGAAAACTTAAAGAAAGACATCCACAACATAGTTAATCCAGAGCAATTATTGAATTTAACTCAAAGAAAGACATCCACACTTTTTAACGCCAATTTAAAGGGTAGCTATGAAATTGTTGTCCATTCAGAGAATGTTACATTCACATGTCCATCCCCATAACAAAATGCAACATCTATTAAAGACTATTAAACTCACTTCCTTAAGCATTCATCGTAAAATCCATAAACTTGAGTAATCTGCAAGAAAGTCAGGCCATTAGTTCAAGCAACTCAAAAGAGATCTAAATTATGTAATAGTAACAGGAAAACTAAGAGTATGGAAGAGTCAAAAGGGAAAATCCAACATTTTTTAAGAACACTAAATGATAAATGATTCAAGCTATCATTGAACTTCAATAAATGGAATTATTCTGAGTTGTTGGAAATTTATATAGTAATGGAGATTAAAGTTTATGTACTACCATGAAAAACTTAAAATAATATTTGGAGTTGTGCAGTTATAAATATTATTTTAGTTTGGTATAAAGTTAATTGGAGAATGAGTTTGTTGGAAGACTTTGTCTATTCCCCAACATTGGGGATTATTATGATAATAATAATTAGGGCTCAAGATGAGTGGAGGTCCAAACAAAATATATAGTGGATACAAAATTGGCTTGGTCCAAACATGAGCTATTCACCACATAGGAGGGAAGCTCAACCCATGCTTACTCATAACAGAAGTAAACTTTTTATACCACTGCCTCGGAGCTTGCTTCAAACCATACAAACTCTTCTTCAATCTGCAAACATAATCCTCTTTCCCTTTAACTTTGAAACCCTCAGGCTGCTCCATATATATCTCCTAATCTAAATCACCATGGAGAAAAGCTGTCTTCACATCCATCTGTTCAATTTCTAAATCCAAATAGGCTGCTAGACCCAACACAACTCTAATGGATGAAAATTTCACAACAGGAGAGAAAATTTCATCAAAATCAATACCTTTCTTCTGGCTAAAACCCTTCACCACCAGTCTAGCTTTGAACCGTGGAACTGAAGTGCCTTCTTCATGTTTCAATTTGTAGACCCACCTGTTCTTCAAAGCTTTCTTGCTCTTTGGTGCCCTCACCAACTCAAAGGTATCATTTGCATATAAGGAGTTCATCTCATCCTGCATAGCCTCAAGCCACTGTCTCTTTTGCTCACTCTCCATGGCTTCTTCATAGGACTAAGGTTCTCCCCCATCAGTTAAGAGTACATACTGATCGAAAGAGTAACGAGTCGATGGTCTCCGCTCCCTGTTAGACCTTCTAGGAGGATCAACGGGAACCTGCGAAGGAACTTCTTGTTCCTGGTGCACAACATCATCAACATGACCATCTACATCAACTGTATCATCCTGAAAGTCTGGTACAGGATCATCATTCTGACCATTCTCCTGAATCTCATCAACATCATGTGTATCTTTGTTGGAAACTGGCTCAAGGTCAACCAAACTTCCGTTGTCATGAGATTCTGGCTTCCTCACTTTATCAACATCCTCAATGGTTTGATTTTCAAAGAACACTACATCACGGCTTCTCACAAACTTCTTCTCAACTGGATCATACAACCTATAGCCAAATTCATCAAGACCATAACCGATGAAGATGCATTGTATGGTCTTCGAGTCCAACTTAGATCTCTCATCTCTTGGGACATGCATAAATGCCTTACAACCGAAGACTCTGAGGTGATCATAAAAAACTTCCTTTCCACCCCAAACCTTATCAGGAACTTCATTACTCAAAGCAATAACGGGAGATAAATTGATAATATGAATAGCTGTGGAAACTGCTTCAGCCCAAAAAGATCTAGGCAACTTCGCATCATCAAGCCTGCATCTAACTCTCTCCATAACTGTCCGGTTCATCCTCTCTGCTAAGCCATTTAACCGAGGAGTCTTAGGAGGAGTTTTCTGATGTCTAATACCGTGCATTCTGCAATATTCATCAAATGGGCCACGGTATTCACCGCCATTATTAGTACGGATGCACTTCAATTTCTTCCCTGTCTGTCTCTCAACAAGAGCATGAAACTCTTTAAACACATTGAACACATACTTTTGTGCTTCAAAGTGTAGACCCAAAGCTTCCTAGAATAATCATCAATAAAGGTCACAAAGTAAGACACACCTCCAAGTGACCTAACCTTCATTGGTCCACACACATCAGAATGTACCAACTCAAGTGGCTCTGACCTCTTCGAAGGAGGATTGCTCATGAAAGAAACTCTTTTCTGTTTCCCCGCCAAGCAATGAACACATCTGTCCAACCTAGCTTCTTTTACCCCTGAAAGCTTACTCTTCTAGGCAAGGCAATCAATCCCCTTCACACTCATGTGGCCAAGTCGTTTATGCCACAATTCTGATGCACATTCTTTTGCTGCCACATTCACTGAATCACCAGAAATAAAGCTTTGCAAAGAGTACAAGTTAGAAGACATGTTACCTCGTGCAATAACCAGTGAACCTTTAGTGATTTTCTAATGTCCGTCACCAAAGAAACAACAGAAACCATCATCATCAAGCTTTCCTGTAGAAATAAGATTTAGTTTGATACCTGGTGCATGCTTTACATTTTTAAGTACCAGCTTTGTGCATTGCTTGTCTCAAGGCAACTGTACCGGTACCAATCACCTTCACCTGACCATCATCACCCATTCTTAACTCTCCACAGTCACCTGGAGTATATGAAGTAAAGAATTCCTTCCTTGGTGTAACATGGTAGGATGCACCTGAATCCACAATCCAAGTTGTTTCGTGGCATGCAACATTGATGGCGTTCTCATCACAAGCAACAAGTAAATCTGCTTTAACTATTGCAACCTGGTTCTCGGTGTTATCATCTTTCTTGTCTTGCTTCTTTTCACTTTTCAACTTGAAGCAATTTTCTTGATGTGTCCTTTCTTGCCACAATAATGACATTCAACATCCTTGTTCTATGACCTTGACTTACTTCTGCTTTTATCTTTACCCTTCTGACCCCGTTGTTTGTTTCTCCCCCTATCATTTCTAACCAAAATATCTGATTGAGAAGTGGAGGTGTCTTGAGATCTTCTTCTTGACTCTTCATTCAAGATACCACTCTTGACATACTTCATGGTCACAACAGCGTTGGGGGCAGAATTGCTCAAAGAAACCCGAAGCGTTTCCCAAGAATCAGGTAGAGTGTTAAGCAACCAGAGACCAAGTACCTCATCCTCAAATTTGATGCCCATGCTAGACAACTGATCAAGAACACCCTGAAAATCATTAACATGATCATTAATCAATGTACCTTCCCTGTATTCTTAGATTCATCAATTGTTTTAGCAAAAACAATTTGTTATTGCCTGTCTTGGAAGCATACAGGGTCTCAAGTTTATCCCACAGACTTCTAGCATGTGTCTCATTGATAATGTGATTCAGAACATTATCTTCAACCCATTGGCGAATATAACCACAAACTTGTTGGTGCTCAAACCCACTGTAGAAATAATTTCGCTCTTGTATAATAGCTCACAAACTACACAAGACAAAGACCTTGTGGGACAAGCATGATCGAGAACATGCTAATAATAATCAAATTTGTGATCTTAAAATACTAGAATCATATTCTACCCACTTGACTACTCATTTGAGTCATTTCAAGGCAAATTGGAGAATTTTTTATGTGTCATATAATGTTGTATTCCATGTGTAAAGTTGTTAAACCAATTAAACCCATGAACTCTTTGTAGCCTGCAGCTCAATGACACTTATGTGGCTTTCTCAACCTCCAAGGTTCGAATTCAATTTTCAATAGGCTGAGAAAGTATGTATAATTGTATGAACATATAAAAAAAAAAAACCATAGAATTTTCATGATGATGCGTAGTATATTTGCAAATAAATAATACTCGAAGTACGAGTTATCGATCCACAGAGTAGTGGTTGTATCAAGCACTAGTTACTAATTTATTCATTAGAGCTAATCCTAACAATTGTTTGGATGATTGATTTGCATAAAATAAATATAAAAAAAAAAAAAAAAAAAAAAAAAAACAGAGATTCAAGATTTTGAAAATAATTAGAGAGAAGATGAGATTTTTGGGATTCAAGTATTTAATCACCTATTGCCAAATCTTAAGGATAATATTAAAATCTGGGTTTAACAAGTGTGAGGATGCAAGGTGGTATAGAGCTACTCTCGTAGTCACTAACGTACACTAGTGAATTTCTACTCTCGTGACTTAAACACCCAATAAAACAAGATGAAGCATCATAAATTCCTAACTACTACCATCTCTCGATGCGCAATAATCAAGAATTAAATTCCATAAATAAATTACCATTTCTCAAGGTGCAACAATTAGGTGCAATTGTGTGTGCCCAAAGTTATGCACAACTCTCGTTGTGACACAAACAAAGCAAACGAATCAAGTAACTATGACCACTAATTACAAGCATCAAACAATATTATCACAATTGCAACACAAGTATTAAACCCAAATAATAATACATTAAAGAAACTGAGAGTTCAGGCACATAGGTTCATAAACACTTTTACCCAAGAATCTCTAAAGAATTTAGCCAAGCATGGCTAAATTATACATAGCAAATAATAATAAGGCAAATAATAATAAAGAATTACAAATTATCAAAAGAGTACAAGAATGAACCAGACGATTCTCTAGAATCTCCCTAGTCTTCTTCTTGATCCTTCTTCTTGATTCCCAAGACAACTTGTGACTCTTGATTACTCCATGTCTTGTCTCCAAAGATCTCTGAATTCTGAATTATAGATTCTTCATTCTAGGATTGGAGAAGGTGGAATTTTATAGTGGGAGTCAAGCCGGGACGAAATCGTACTTTTAATCTTCCTTTACAAACTACCGTCCTTTTTCATTGTTTCCTTTTATGATTAGGAAATTAGGAAATTATTTATGCCTTTTGCTTTGGAATTGGTGCTGCCCTTAAGTTGTAATTGACGCTGCTTTCTAAATTTACACTTCAGCGCCACGATTTGTAATTGACGCTGCTCTTTTGGTTGTCGCGCTGAAATTTGGTCTCGATCGAAAAACTTTTTGGAAATTTTGGACGCGACGCTTCAAATGTACTGTGTAAGTGTCTTTTGGTCCACTTTTAACTCTAAATTTATCCTAGAATTTCCCTTGTAGAATTGACCTACAATGGTTCAAAAACACTAACAAACACAATAAAATATTCAAAACAAGTGTGAATCATAATTAAATGATAAAACAAGGAATTATGCAATTAAAATACCAAAATCATGAACGTAAGCCTAACAAATATAATTAAATCAATACTAGAAATATGCACAATTAAGTGCACATCACATGACTTGTGCAGTTGTACCCATCACTTCATCAATGCTATATTAATATTCATTGTAATTAGCTATTAGCTTATTGTCTGAGATGGTATATTAATTGTTTATGAAGAAGTGTTTGCTAAAACTATTTGTTAGCTTTAATGATATCATATAAAACGAATTTTGAAGACTTGAATTTATTTTAAGAAAAACGGATTAAATGAGTCCCGACCCCTAAGTGAAATAAATAGTGCAAATGAGCTTCTAACTATAAAAATATTTTAAAAAATAATTTCATAGAGACACCTTATACCGAAAAAAAGGTGTAATTGAGTCCTAATTTACCTATTTAGCAGGTTATTGTTGAATTGAAGCTGACTAAGTTTCCACGTCTATTCTTATTATGATGTGGTGATTACTTGACACTAAATGTGGCGATGATTTGACATAATTTTAAAAAATATTAGTAATTTTTTTTAAAAAAAAAAACTCAAAAATAAAAAATGTAAAAAAATGCAATGTTGCGCATAAAAATGTCGTCTACTAAAAATAAAATAAAATAAATTACAGTTACACTTGATACCATTTGTTTAGCAAAACATTTCAAATTACAATACCAATCACACCCATTTTATTATTTTTAGGAATAAGAGTCAAATAGTTATAACTTTTGGCGTTTTGATAAAAGGTTGATCTTGTTACATTTTATTAGGGTTTTGTTCTATAAAAAACACAATAGTAATATGTAAATAATAAAATCAGTAGTGTTTTAATGTTTGGCTACTAATTAAGCCAATAGTTTGGTTGAGGTTGTCCCGATAACATCTTTTAACATTAACGGAATAATTTTTTTTTTGGGCGGGAGTGGGTGGGGGGGGGGGGGGGGGGGAGGGGGGTGTTAAGGTTTCAGTAGCTTTCTGCAACAAGTCGTATCACTAATTCCAATTCAAATTATTACAGTATTAAATGTTTAAATTCAAAGAATAAGGTTATATAATGACAAAAATACAAAATGCTTCTTGTTGATAGAGAACATATTAAATGTTGCAGTGGTTGGATGGCCAAGCAAGAGTGCAAGACTTTCCAGCAATATGTTGGTTTTATTAATATGAATGATGTGTAGTTTTTAGTTTTTAATTAATAGTGAACCAAAAAGGGTGTTAAGCTAAGTGATAAGCTAATCAACCACAAGTCGTGGCAAATTTCTTGAGCTAGTTTCCAATAGAATACTAGTATACATTGTCTAACAAGTCTTCAAATTAGTTTCCAACTAGCTACTAAACATACAATATTACAAGTGATATATGAATATATATATATATATATATATATAGTGAAAGGTTCTCGTGCGGTTGAATGCTTCCTGTGCGGTTGTGCGGTTATTAATGTGCGTGAGATTTGTACTCAATGTGCGTGAGTGTTGTGTCTAATGTGCCTGAGATTTGTGCTTAATGTGCGCAAATGTGTAAAATGCAGCAGAAAATATGGATTTCAGCTTCTTCCCCATCCCCAGTAGCCATTGCTCCCTCCCCGATGATGATGATGCCCCTCTCAGATGATGATGATGCGGAGGCGGGCTATTGTGGTTAAGAATTATGATGATGCTGTTGTGCAAATTTCACTGTGAGTGCGTTATTTATATAAACATTCAACTGCACTGAAGGTAGCTGATAATCCAGAATCCAGGGCCAAATTGAAGGAAGAAGTAACAAGAAGCTTGGGCGTTAATGTGCGTGAGTTTCTGTTCTGCTTCTTTCTGAGCTCGTAATTCTGAAATACTCACGCACATTAAACACAAATCTCACGCACATTAAACACAATACTCAGGCACATTAAGTACAAAACTCACGCATACTAACATCACACACATTAAGTACAAATCTCAAGCACATTAAGCACAACACTCACGCACATTAAGTATAAACCTCACGCACATTAATCAACCGCACAACCGCACGGGAAGCAACAAATACACCTGATCCCTTCCCTATATATATATATATATATATATATATATATATATATATATATATCAATGCATGATTCAGAAACTAACAGATCAGAGGGTACATTATATTACTGGTCTTAATTAGCTTGAATGGTTAACACTCATCATCATCAACTCCAACAATATGTCTGCATATATATGCATCAAACACACACACACACAAATATTGCAAATCTAAGCTTCAAGGTATTTTAAACTTTTAATCTTCCAATTCAGTACTAAAATACAAGACATGAAGTTTGAGCACTCCCTAGAGTTTTGTGATTATCTGATATGACTCCAACAACTAAACTCCAAGAAATAGATAGCATACATATATGCATGCATTATGCATATATTCATTATCCATGAATTCTTGAATGAGTTTAATTCAACAAACGCCTACCCGTCTGGGCTGCAACACACACGCTCTCTCTCTGCCCATCAGATTTGTTCAGCTCTGATCTTTGCCTTTGAGCCAACACATTGAAAGCTTCCAAATATTACCTGAAGTCATTTCAATTGGGAATATAATATAATATAATATAATATAATATAATATAATGTACTACTTCAATAACCAATTTCATTTCAATTTAATTTAATTTTTGGAATTAGCTAGGTTGTAGAAGTAGAGGTATAGCCACAGCAGCAGTGAAAATATAGTATGAAGTGTATAGTAAAAGAAGCATGAGAAGTCCCTGTACTGTACTGGACTAGCAAATGAAAACTAGCATTACAAATTGGCTCTCTATGCAGACCAACAACACTGAAAATAATCTATGTAATATAAACATCTTCTTCTTGAATTGTAAAATAATGTTGTTGCCTGTCCTGTCACAAATGCATGAATCAAACTGTAAATACAGTCATGTATGTATGTATGTAATTATAATTCTGTGTTCTTGAAAGTGAATACAAGGAAGGTATCAATTATAAATTAACCACTTCTTGCTCTTCTTCATTCAGGCTATTCTCCATTCCGAAACCTGTCATAAGTCACTGAATTTAATTAAATCTGCTTGGCACAAGCTGAAAAAATACAACTCAGAAAGAGAAAGGGTGACATACCTACAGGCCATAAATGTTCCGCAATAACAACCATATCGTTGTTTCCATAGTCACGTTGCTCATCTTGAATTTTCTTGGCAGATTCCGCAACAGAATGAAGACATGTCACTAATTTGATTGACTTCAATGTTGAAACTTCAGCAAAGTCAATTGGGATCTCTCTCAATTCACAGCAATACCCAATATATAGGTGCTCAAGTTTTGGGAAATTGTGACTACTAGCTTTCCAATGCTTGAGATCACAATTATAAATAAGTAAAGCAATTAACTGGCAAAATATCACTTCCTCTTGTAATTCCCATTCTTTGCCTTCCCCAGACATATCTACTAACTTGAGCACCTCTAGCTTAGTCAACTTGCTAAGAATATTAATTTGCTTCCACTCAAATTTCATATTATCCAATGCCAACATCCTAAGGTTTTTCAGGAGAATAATATCAATATTAATTGGAGTATGTCTATCAAACCAACTACACCATGAAAACCGAAGTCCCTCGAGATTCTCTAAATAGGCTAAGTTCCTAATGCAAGCATTAGTCTGTCTGCCATCACCTGTAACAAGACGTACCTTCTTCAGGCATGGAATATTGGTAATGTATTCTTTTGAGCACTCATCAACACTTATCCCATCAAGTTTTTGGACAAAATTGGGAGGATTTCCACAAAAATGTCCAATGCCCCAACAAATATGGTGTAGTTGTGGAAATTCCGAATAATTCCCTCCATCTAATCTGTATGATACAGTTTCAAAAGAACCACAACAATCAAGTGTTTGAAGATTCCAAGACCTTGACAATCCTACACTCTCTCTACATCTTGGCTTTAGGAATCCCCGAGTCCTGGACAGTTCTATTTCATTTCCAACTCTTAGGAATCTCAAATGGACAGTATCCACACTATTTTGGAGCTTGACACTTGCATCATAGTGGAAGAGTACTCTCAGTAGATTGCCATTTCTAAAATTTGAAACTGATTCCCCCCACAAAAAACTGAAGAACGATCTATAGCTTTTCCAAGTATAATGCGGTATTGTAGACATGTTAAAATCTACATATTGGATGCTTACCCAGCGAAAACCATTTTGAGGAAAATAAGAACTATTTTCATTCTTGACAACATGCAAAAGGTTCTCGTTTTGAGCTTCTCTCATACAAAAGGCATGCAATAAATCATGCATCGTAAAGCTCTTAATTTTTCTTCCACAACAACTTAGCTTGCTTAAAATTATCAAGTTTCTATCCATAAGTTCTTGCACGTACCTCTTAGCCACTTCATCAAAGCTTTCATTCTCAAATGCCTTTACGAGTCCTTCCGCAAGCCATAACCTTGCAAGTTGATTAGCATTGATATCGTGATCTTCTGGAAAAACTCCCAAATATAAGAAACAAGCTTTCAAGTTGTGGGGCAAATGATTGTAACTCAATGAGAGTACTTTCAAACATTCTTCATCATCTAGAGTAGTTTTTGAAGAAGAACTGAGAGCATTGGCAGTATTCTTCCACTCATCTAGAGTCTTGAGTTTAGAAAAAAGGCCTGCAACCACAATAATTGCCAAAGGCAGTCCTTTGCATTTTTCAACTACCCGTCTCCCAATCGTCTCAAATTCAGCACTACGAGATTCACATGCCTTTTCATTAAATAGTTGCCAACTCTCACTTTGTTCTAAGAATTGCATTTGATGAGAAAAGTCATCTTTGGAGCAAGTATAATTAGCCACCTCCGCAAGGCGAGTAGTCAACAATACTCGACTACTATATCCATCATCGGGAAAGCAAGCTTTGACAGCATCCCATGCCTCTCCACTCCATAGGTCATCCATCACAACCAAGTACCTTTGATGCTTCAAACTTTGATAGAGTTGTAATGCTAGGTCCTCATCACTGTTGCTGCCTGCATTATTGTCTTTGAAACCTAGGAGGCCTAAGAGCATTTGCCTCTTATTGTGATTTTGTGATGCGACAACCCATGCTCGCTTATCAAAGTAGGAGGTGATTGATGAATCTTCATAAATTTGCCTTGCTAATGTTGTCTTACCAATACCACCCATACTTTTTATGGAGACAATTTCTAGTTGCTTAGATGGATGGTGGATTAGCTTCTCCTTTATAATCTCGAACTCATCCTGTTTTCCGACCATTATTTCTTTGGAACGTGAAGCATGGTGGGAAGAATCAGGCATGGTGATACCTTGATCAGTAGGTATTGGTAAAACATGAAGGGAGGCAGGCTGCTCTGTTCCTGCTTGTAGATGATGTTTGAAAAGCTGGTACTCCTCCTTGGCTTTCGCCAACTCTTGAGTGATGGCATCAATGTGTTGTAGAGCTGGGTGCAAAATACGACGAAATTTGAGACAAGGATGTGATTTTCCCCTTAGCGGATGCAAAATTTGATGAAGCCTCTGGCAATTATGAGTACTTGTCTGATGAAGGCTGTGGCAATGATGAGTGTTTTTCTCACCCTGTGGCATTTCCTCCTTTTCTTCTTCTCCTTCTCCTTCTCCTTCCTCTCCCTCTCCCTCTCCCTCTCCCTCTTCTTCTTCTTCTTCTTCTTCTTCTTCTTCTTCTTCCAGTGGCTGAAATGTGTGATAAACAACTTTGTCAAAAATGTCAAAAATATCAAAAATTCCTTCAAAAATTCTGAAATCCTCTTCTTCTTCCTTTCTTTCTTCATCATAAAGATGTAGTACTTGGAGTTCAATTTCATCCTCAATCCTGGAAGCAACATCTCTGAGCTTTGTTTCCAAGCCTTTTATTGCTTCAACATCGTCCATTCTGTTCTCATCGAAGAGTTCCATCAGAAATCCAAGCTTCTTGTGGAGAGATAGGACCAAGTCTTTGTTGCAGGGGATGAGTTCGTTTTGTTGTAGAATTGGACGAGGCAAAGGTTGCAAGAACTCAAGCTCTAGCGTCCTCATAAGAGAAAGTACAACCACACAAGCCATTCTTCTCTGTCTGTGTAGGTGTAATGGAAAGGAGAGTTGTTTTCTGAGTTTGTTGGAGTGAAGGTTAGCAGAAGGAAGATGAAGATGATATCAACTGGAATTGGGTTATGCTGCAGAGATTTTGGTGGCCTCTGCAACTTGCACTACTATAACTTGTGACCTATATTAATGAATTGTCCATTATATATGCAACCATTCATGAACTAAAAATGTAACTTTCTCCAATATTAAGTATGTGTAGGATTTAAATTCAAAGATTAGGGGTAGATAATGACAAAATGCTTGTTTTTGGGAAAATATAAAATGATGTAGTAGTTGGCTTCGCAAGACTTTTTAGCCATATTCCAATTCAAATTATTTGTATTATGCATATATATATATATATATATATATATATATATATATATATATATATTTTTTTTTTTTCGTATTAAAATTCAAAGATTAAGGTTAGATAATGACAAAATGCTTCTTGTTGGGAACAATATTAAATGTTGTTGTTTCTGTGGCTTTCTGCAACTTGTAATATATATATACATATATATACACTAAATTCAGATATACATTGGCTCTGTTTGGTAAAATGGCTGTTAGCTGATAGCTGTTTGCTGTCAGCTGATTGTGTTAATTAGAGGGTATAAATAGTTGATAACATTAGCTGATTGTAGAAAAGTGTTTGGTAAATTAGCTGTTAGCTGATAGCTGTTTGGTATAATTTCTTTTCTCAAAAAGCTAATTGAAAAAGTTGCTAGAAGTAGCTTTTTAAATTTTAGCCTTTTAAAGTTGCAAAAAGCTAATTAACCAAACATGTATATTGATATTTTAACTAAATCAAACAATTAATAGTGGTCAAATAAGCCAAAATTGGCCTATAGGCCAATTTTTTACCAAACAGGGCCATTGAGTTAAAGTTAGATAATGACAGCTTCATATAGATGCTGTTAAAAATATATGAGTCGGCAATTCTTTGTCTACAAGACCATATGCTCTTTATTTTATTTTAGTTTTTGTTTGTTGAAGCCAGCTGGTTCCAAAAGCTCACAATCATTATTCTAATGTGTGTTCTGGGTGAAATTTATTTTGTGACTCTAATCGTTAAAAGACCACAAGAAAATAGACTACAATAGGTTTCATATAGCTGATTGATTCAAACTGACTGGTTGTTTTTTTTTTTTTTTTTGGTTTAAGGTTTCAGTAGCTTTCTGCAACATGTCGTAGCACTAATTCCAATTCAAATTATTACAGTTTTAAATGTTAAAAATCAAAGAATAAGATTAGATAATGACAAAATGCTTAGCTTCTTGTTGGTGGAGAACATATTAAATGGTTGGCCAAGCAAGACTTTCCAGCAATATGTTGGCTTTAATTAATCTGAATGATGTGTAGTTTTTAGTGTGTTTTGCCATCTCAATAATGGACCAAAAAGGGTGTTAAGCTAAGTGATGATAAGCTAATCAACCACAAGTGCCAACTTTCTAGAGCTAGTTTTAAGCAATTCTCAATTTGTCTGACACTGGGTGCAATAATTCCAAGCAAAAGATCAGTTTTTTATCTTCAAGAATTGCAAAAGCTCAAGGTTAATTGTTCTCGTAAGTGAATTTACAGCAAAATCCCCAAGATTTGTGTAATGTATATATAAGAAAATACAAATCAACAAGTTACATTAACAGCTCGCACTTCGATTCTGCACAGCAGTGCAAAATATTGTGGTACAAGAATGGTTCGTTAACACTTCAGACCAACATTATATGTGGCATATATGTCTCAAAAAGTTCAAGTTTAGAAGACAGTTTACAGCCTTACACCAAGTTGGTCTTCACACTATATATATATATATATATATATATATATATATATATATATATATATATATATACACACACTTCATCTGCTACTGTTGGAAAAGCTGTAATCCCATCGTCAAATCAATGTCAATATGGAAACTTTGTATATCTGGCTGGCTTCTTGAACCTGTCCAAACACTCATTGCAGAGGCCAGTTCAGGTTCTGCAGAATATGGACTGTTGAAGCATTAAAAAGGGTACTTCAACTGGACTGGCTGCTATGACAACTCCCCCGACTCCACCACCTATGACACCACCATCTGGACTAGCAACACAAACGTTAAGACTACCAGTTCAGCCCTGAGGACCGCTGCTATTACTGAGAAAGTAGGAGCCCAAGAGAGATAATATTTCAAACTGCCCCTGTAAAGGACAAGATGCACTCAAGTTTGATTTCTGGGGGCATGGGTGATCCAAGACATGAATAACAAGTCGATCTTGTCAAACAAGAAGTAATACAGCAAAATTTAATAGCACATAGATTGAATCAATTAAACCTCATATGTGACATCCATCCACCTAATAAAATTAATCAAAGTTGTTAATAAGCCTTAACCACTTCAGAATCATAAAACATATCCGTTCTATTATCGAGGTACACGGACCATACATGTTGGTTGGAAAACTAATATCGTTAACCAACATTAAATTCACTGCATGATATGAAACACTGGACACACAAATTTCAAATACTCCCTCTGTCAAATTTCTATTATTGCAACTCTTCCCTCCTTGGGGATCAACTCATTAACTTTGTCCAATAGCCAAGGCATATTTCTTTAAATTTTAGTTATTTTGATGGAGTTAAGTACTACTTTTCTTGCAGTTCTGAATATCAAAACTTAAGTTAGAAGAAGACACACACCCACACCCAGCCAGTTTGGACAATAGCAATGGGATAGTGGAAGTGTCAAATACATCTTGTCTTTGTAGTTATTTTTAGTTACTGTATGAAAATTATATCATGGACCATGATTTATAGTAAACATTATAAACCTTTATTCAAATTATATACATATAATTAACATATTATGTATATATAAATAAACTGAACGTATATAAATTGTCAACTGCAAATACATATGTTAATTACAACAAGTACATATATAATTTGTTAACTAAAGATACGTAATATGTTAAATACATGTACATAATCTATAGACAGAAACCACGGTATAACAATTGATTAATTAGTGCATAGTATGGCTGGGGAACCGTTCAATGGAAAGATTAATGCACAAAATAGCATATGATTAAACAAGCTGAAATTAAGACAAGCTAATAATATTCCTCCCTCTACATAATGCAACCACAAAGGAAAAAAATATATATATATAAAAGAAAAATATTAAGAAACTGATCATCCTTCATTCCTTGTACTACAATAAACAACAAAAATATGCAAGAAAAATAAAAAGAACAAAACCAAGCTTTGCATGAAATGGTACAAGCTAAGCAAGCAGCAATGTGGTCTCGCCATCTTCATTTCATTTAATGTATCTCCATAAGATTAGTACATAACAGAATTAAAATGCTTCACCTGCCATTTCTACATACATGCTTTATGTCATCCCGCCATATATCATCATAGCAAAATTATAACCGTCAATTCAATTCCAAAGTAGGAGACTCATCATCACGAAATGTGGTGTGCAACATAACCTTGTACTTCATAGAAAGTAATCTGGTGTTCTTCAGGTTACGTTTGGCACACCTCTCCTCTCCTCGGAGCTGGTTCAAACTGCAATATAATATAATCACCATATATAGTTTCAGACTCAATATTTCATTACACATGTTGGGTAATATGGTTGAAAAATCCCAAAATAATAAGTCTACAGAAAAATTATTATTATATGAGAAAAACAGAAAATTGAGAAGGAAAAGGTTTAGCACGAGTTCAAACACAAAGTTCTTTTCCTTAAAACCTTATTTGCTACCTCCCACAAGTGCTAGGAGCGTTGTAGCCTAGGTTTCCTAGGATAAAACGTGCTATGATTCCTTGTTTAAGCACCTAAACAAGGAACCCGGCAAACAAAGCAAGAGCAAGAACACTGCTGGGTAAAGAAGAGAGTAGAAGCAGAAGTTTTGAAGCAAAACTGTACTGGAATTCCTTAGTTTCGTGTACTGTATAAAATGCTACTGCTCTACCTCTCTTTATATAGGGATATTGGGGGATGTTGGAGTGCTAGCATTCAACATGGCCATTAAATTGGTATTAAAATTAATTGTGTAACACCTGTAACAGCCACCCACTAAGTAGGATTAAACTCAGAATTTAAAATTGGAATTAAAACAGTATTAATTCCGTAACAGATGAGTTTAATATGTACAACAGGCACCACAACACGCACGAGAGTTGTGACCTCGGTGCACCACAACCTCTCCTCTCGTGTGACTATATCAAGGTGCAACCCGAGAGTGCACCTCTCGTGGTCACAAATGCACGAGAGTTGTGCTCTCGGTGCACCACAACCTCTCCTCTCGTGTGACTATATCAAGGTGCAACCCGAGAGTGCACCTCTCGTGGTCACAAATGCACGAGAGTTGTGCTCTCGGTGCACCACAACCTCTCCTCTCGTGCTCTTTGTAGCACGAGATTAGGTCCTCTCGGTTCGGTTCGGTTTCGGCCAAACCAAGTGACTATATCAAGCCTTTTCGATCTCCTCTAGTTGGATTTTGA